CTCCGTTTCCTAGCGATGATATGGACCGCTCCCACTGACACTAACAACACCGAGGGGGCCAGTAATGGGCTACTCATTACTGAAGTGACTCAGGTCAGAGCTCTAAGGATAGCCAGGGCTTACCTTCACTCCCTGGATCATGAGGCCACCATTGCCATGCTCTCAGCCTACTGTCCAGGTAGGAGCTATACTTAACAGATAACACTATAAGAACTTTAATAAGATTAATAGATTCTTTTTTAAATGGTTTAAACACACAGTGAACTGTGGGGGACAACAAGGACTACCTAACAGTGTAGTAGCTGTCCTGAATTATTGTAGCCATATATACCATTGTATAATTTTGAAGACATGCAAATGTACATGTACATGTATGTATAATATTGTACATGTACATGTGAAGTTCAAATTTATATATTTAAAGTAAAGGGGTATATGCTGAATCCTTGGGGGGCAGAGATATGCATTTGTACATGTACGTTTCTCTGCCCCTAAAATATACATGTACATGTACATATATACTGTATAATTTACTTTTCATAATAATCAATTTTTAATTTCTTCCCCTTTGCTTTTTCCCTCCCTCCAGTTGTCTCCTCACTATTACTCCCATTGTCAAGTCCTAACACTCTCATTCGTAAAGGAGCCTACCACTGCATTGAAGCACTCTACAGCTCAGCCACTGTCTCACAACCAGAGGACAAACTAACCCAAATCTACTCATCCTGCCCTCTCCTTCATCTACTGGACTATCTCACCACATGTAAAGTATCAATAGCTACTGACCCCATTGGACTCCAGTTAGTATTACAGTCACTCTATAGCAGTACTGAGGATGGGAATAGGAGGGGGACATTCCCAAGGCTGGCTCCGCCCGATGTTCCGCCGAGTGCTAAAAAGAGGCGTGGCAAAAAGGCGGAGTCTCTCGAGGAAGGGGAGAGGGTCCGTGAAGCGATTGTAGAGTCTTTGTTGTTGATGATAGTTGGACTGGAGAGGGGACCTTTATATATGATCAATCAGTTATTGAATATACTATCAGGAGTTGATATTAAGGTAAGAAATACATGTACATGTACAAGTAACAGTACAATTGTATGTACGTGTACATTGTACTTTCTGAGAGTTTTATTTATACTTTTCTCTTTCTTCTTTTTGTCCTTTTCTCTCTGCACTTTATACTCCTTGTCTCTCTCTCTCTCTCTCTCTCTCTCTCTCTCCCTTTCTCTCTCTCTCTCTCTCTCTCTCTCTCTCTCTCAGTGTAAGTTAAGTGGGTTGTTGAAGCTGATGAAAGAGTTGATCCAGAAAGTGAAGGAACACGATGAACATACAATGGACACAAACAAAGAATGTAAACGACAATAATACATGTACATGTACATATTAATGTGCAATTGTTGTGCATGCATTTACATAAATTATGTATCTAGTGTTTCAACTTTCAATGACAAGTACTGCACATTAATAGATTAAAATAATAATTAGTTCAACAAAGTGCTTGCACCATTTCACATACACTTTAATATACACTTTAATGTACACATGTATGTATTGTTTTGAATTAATAATTCTATTTTATTCCTTTCTTTTTCCATTAGTTTCTTCCTACCCACTATCACCAATAGAGTCCCATTGTGTCCAGTCGTTAGTGCAGTGCTATACTCCAGTGGTTGCTTCATGGCTGGAGACTGATCCTGATGCTTTTGAAGTGTTTCTCTCTCTTCTCTCGTCCTCCATTTCTCTATCACCCACTGTACCATCACTGGCTGCACTAGCAGTGAATCAGGTATGTACATGTACATGTACATGTACATAGTGGTGTGAATGTACACTGTATGTAGGTAATACATTGTATGTTGATTGGTATGGAGATATACATGTACATGTATGTGTACATATATGTATTGGTGTAAATGTATACATGTATGTGTTGGTTTATGTGGAGTAAAGGTATGTGTCATGTACATGTAACGAATATGTACATTTAGATGTACATGCATTTTGTGTACATTGTACATGTACATGTATATGGCTAATTAGTAACTACATGTATTATTGTATTGATTATAAACTTTGTACATGTACATCTATTTTTATTATTTCTTTCTTCTTTTTTTTCTCCTTTTCCTCTCTCCCTCTTTCCCCATCTCTTTCTTTCTTTCTTTCTCTCTCCCTCTCTCTCTCTATTCTCAGATCACTCCTCAGTTCTATTCATCTCTTTCCACTGTTCAGTCTCAGCAGTCAATACTTCATTCAGTTCTTAGTCTCATGATAGTCTCCAGTAGCTCAGGTCTCACACTGACTGCTAAACAATGTCTTCAACAAGTAATGATCATGATAATGTACTGTATGTACATACACGTACTTGTAGTATCTGTTGTCCCATTTAACATCCATTTCGCAATTTAATTTTGCAACAGATACATGTACATCTTACGTACATGTACATGTGAAATGACTTTGATTTAAAGTGAACCCTTTTCTTCAATCCCTTTCAGTCAATTATTGATATTATTTTTATTCTTTTCTTAGTTGCCTTTAAGTTCTGAGGTCTTGATAGCTGAACTGTTACTGGAGGAAGACAAACTAAAACCAAAAGAGATTGACTCATCTGCTGGCCCTGCCACTAAGAAAAGGTGAGGACTATATTAAATGGTTAATGTCTGCCCTTCTATGATAATATTAATATGATATATATAAGTATATAGAGTGGAGTTTACATAATAACCTATAGGTTTGAGGATTACTGTAAAAATATATTACATATGCTGTTAGAAGCCAAAGTGTAAGTGCTTGTAGTTTAACTACATCTGTTGTGTAT